GCCGTCTTTTAGACTATCCAGGAACCAGTCCTTGCTGCCGAGTTTCATCCACTCAGCTCGAACCAAATCATCACATGCGGAAAGAGCCACATCTATTTTTGGACCATGGATGATGGCAAACTAACCAAAAAGTCTGGTATCTTTGAGGTATAGAAATACAAATTCTCAATTAATAATAATTATGAATAGTCAAATCTATGTGTAACTTTTATATTTAAAAATAGAGAACTGTATGGAGATACTTTTTCAAGCAGAAAGATTTGCTCATTGGAGGTGGAAAGTGGCATTATAAGCAGTTTTTGTAGATGGATATGTGTGCCTTATAAGATAACATTATTATTATCATTTTGATGTGAGTTTGCATCAGGAAAATGTCGTAGGAGTGATGTTTTGCCCTACCTGACGTGTTATCGTACCAAAAAATCAGTACGTCCCCAAATGCTTGCGAAAAAAATTTGCAAGTGATTTCAGGTGGGAATCGAACCCACAACCTCCAAATAGCTATCCTGGCACCATTAAACTAGACTACCGAGCTTGCGCTTAGTGATTAGTGTTGAATCCGATTCCCAAGTAGCCGTGGGTACTGCAAATGCAGTATTATTATTTTATTTATTTTTATAAATACTGGAATATAATTTATTACCTTCCTTTTGTATTGTTTTTTTCCAGAAACATGACAAGCCAAAGTATGTCCTATGTATCGCATTTGCTGACAATGGGGATGTAATCTCTGGCGATTCAAATGGTAACATCTACATCTGGGGAAAGGGTAAGTCAAACAGATAGGGCGGTTACAAAGGAATTTGTAACTGACTGTTAGCACAGTTGCCTATACGAAAAGAGAATGAGGTTGCATGATGGTAATTTGGTGGTATATATAAAGTGATAGTGGAGGTCAAACATAAAGGCTGAATACAAAGGAATTTTATAACTTGATTCTTAGCACAGCACAGTTGCTGTACGAGAATGACGATGTATGATGGTAATTTGGTGGTATATATTATGTGATAGTAGCTTCCATGAAGAAACATGTACATTTTATGTTTTTTGTTTTTAATAGGGAATAGTCGTATTCAGTATGCCGTGACTGGTTGTCACGAGGGTCCCATCTTCTCCTTGTGTACCCTGAAAGATGGAAGCGTCCTTTCGGGTGGAGGAAAGGATCGTAAAATCAAGCAATGGGACCGAAACTACAGCAGTACAAGTGAGACAGTGGTGAGTGATGGCAAATGCAATTTTCAAGAACGTTCAGTAGTAGTAAATAATTATGGTATTAGTAATAATAATAATTGATAAAATAATAGAAATAAAAATAAGAAATATAATAATTAGAAGAACAATAAGAATAATATAAGATAAAATAAATACAGCAGTGATTTGTCAACGGATCCAGTCAATGACAGTCATGTGTTTTCCAAGGAAGACAGCTACAGCAATCAATCAGAGAGCAGCTTTGCTTAGTCAGCTGAACTGGTGGTAGCCACTGTGTGTGTGCTGAACTGTGGAGATCTCTCAGTCCCTGTCTTTCGGATGAGATCCTTTGTGCATTATGGCCCATGTGCATGTTAAAGAACTCAGTACACTCTTCAGGAAAGATTGGGGATTGTCTCCTGGTGTACTGCCCAATCACCACCGGAAGGACCCCGCTTTAAATAAGTCAGATTTTCATGGGTTGTCCTTGATGTTTACACTTAATAAATCCAATCCAATCCAGTCAATAGTATTAAACTTCTTTAATTTATCAGTGATGAAATTGAAATAATGATTCTATAATTATTCATTTACGCATAGATCCCAGAAGCCACTGGTCCTGTTCGTGTTCTATGCCAAGGAAAAGGTGAAGATATTTATGTGGGAACAACTCGCAACGCAATTCTGCATGGAGATATTGGTGGAGATTTTGTTCCAATTGTGCAGGTATTTGTGTCATTTCTTCTCTCTCATCATCATCATCATGTTTTTCATTGTTATCATTATTTCATTGTTTCATTATATCATTTACTCATCTTCAAGATAGACTTTAGTCATCACAATCACCTCTATCATCATCTTCACTGTCATCATTCATTCAAAATCATATTAAAAATACTGACTGCTCATAAGTCTTCAAAGCTGTGATTTTTATGAATGACTGTCGGTCTTCTTTTAATGACTATCATCCTAATCCTCAAGTTATAAATTATTAAGCAAAAAATTGTTATTCATTACAGGCACATACTGACGAGCTATGGGGACTAGCAGTGCACCCCACTCAGGCCCTGTTCCTCACCTGTGGACATGACAAGTCAATTATCATGTGGGATAGTGAAACTCATCGACCTTTATGGACCAAGACAATTGATGTAATGATTCATTGAAATGTGTATATAGCCCTCTATAGTTTGTGTTCTTGTACATTATACATTTCAATATTCATAAGGAAAAAAATTTCTATCAATTATTTACACTTAGATTTTCCATTGCAACATTTGATTTCATGGATCTTTTATATTGCCCTTTATAGTTTGTGTTCTTGTACATTATACATTTCAATATTCATAAAGAAAAAAATTTCTATTAATTATTGACAATGATATTTTCCATTGCAGGATTCTTGCCAATCAGCACACTTCCATCCATCTGGAGAGGTCTTTGCCATCGGAACCACTACTGGTCGCTGGATTGCCTTGGATACCCAGTCCAGAGATCTTGTGACTGTCCACACTGACGGCAATGAACAGCATGACATTGTCCGATACTCTCCAGGTATGCTTCAAGCATGTGAAATGGTGCTAATGGTTTATGTAGTAAAGTGCCCCTCCTCCATGCAATGTGTGTAGGGTTCTAAGCATTTATTTTTCATAAATTATAAGATTAGCTATGAGACTAGATTTGCTAACTGGACTTCTTGGTGCCTCAAACTATTGTGTTAATATAACAGTTATTGTAAAATTTATACCCTTTTTTAGAAGTTAACTATAATTAGGTATCCCAATGAGAAAATTCAAATTTGTAGAACATCTGCAGAACTCATTGTACTGATCATTTTACAGTTTAAATTATTAAAATCCAACACCCCGTTTAAAAGTTATGGCCCCCATAAAGCTGGTGAAAAAGGTGGTTTTTTTTTTAGTGTTTTTTCTTGATCCGAATTTGGAGCATATTTGGAGGGCCTAAAATAAGCAAAATGTCTAATTTTTACATATTCCATAGATGTTAGAGAGTTGCATGCATCTATTTTTTTCTGAGTCGTTTCTTAATGTCGTTTTTTAAATACGGGCCCTTAAGTCCGTCCCATGTTAATTTGTACCCATTTTTCGCATGTGTATCAAAAATAGGCAAAATATGGCCACTTAAAGCAGTTTTTTGAGAACATCATCTCTAAAAAGTTTTATGCTCCAGTTATACGTCAAATTTTAGAAAGGATGGGTACCTGAATCAAATATTTTTTTTTTTTTTTTTTGCAGCAGTGGGCGAATTAGAACCGTCCATTTTTGCAGCGGGGTATAAGTTTTGTTATAATAGGATTATACATACTGTAGTGATCAGTGATAAATACGTGTGTTGAAAGTGAGCTTCACCAAATACACAATGGTTTGGTCTCGGGTTTTTTCTACTATATTTACTCCCTAGTTCACTGTATTTCAAAATTTTTCATTTCATAACCAAGCTAAATCTGTTATTAAGAAGATAGTTTATCAAGTATAAATAAGATCTAGCTTTAAATTAGTGTTTTTTTTTAGATCGGTTTTGTTCATAAACAATCGCTCAAAACACAAATTTCGTCACTAATTACGATTTACACATCAAAATAAGCTTTTTTAAAGCCTGATAACATGCAAAAAAATCATTCCGTTAGCTTTGATGGTCATCAAGCGATCATGATTTGAAGTCAGATAGGGGGTTTCCCAATGTTTTTTCTTGCGCGCAAATTCGGCTCACCAGCATTTTTAACACATTTTAAAATTGCGCTTACTCTTACTCCATTAAAAAATACATGTAAGTAAACACTATAACATGCTTTTTCAAAGAATATAAATTTTATTGGCAAAAATTCACAATGAGTATAATATTTTCAACATCAAAGTCATGTCATTTTTTCAAATCTCACAAATGTTTAAAAATTGTAAACACTCAAAACAGCTTCATTGGAATACCTACTATAATTTATTCAAAATAACAAACTTCAAAACCAGCTACAATGTATTAAAGTATCGCACTTCCTACCCTAATAACTAATGGCCTTGAGTTGTTTTTTTTTTTATAAATTGTACTTAATTTTAATGTACTTTTCACATATTTGGGTAATTGTATTGGAGTTGTATTGTAGTTATTAACAAACCGGAAAAAAATGTTTGTGCCTCCATGAAAATTGTCTTGATAAAATTCCTGCAGCATCAAATGTTATTTGTACACTGTATAGCCCAGTGGTTTATTTTTATGTATTTTTTTCCACAAAAAATGCCCCCAGGACATCCATGATGCCTCCAACCGGCGATCGTGCTTACGCGCACTTATTCTGCTTATTAAGATCATTCACAATTTAGTTTCAATGTCCTATAATAATATACATATTTTATGAGAAATTATTGTGATGATTGACTTATTAATGAATATAAAAATGATATTGTATGTAAATTACTAGTACTGTTCACAAGGTAGTTTTTTTTTTTTTTCTATTTCAATTTTTAGATGGAAACTATATTGCAATTGGTTCCCATGACAATTACATTTACGTTTATGCTGTCAGTGAGAATGGCCGTAAGTATAGCAAGGTTGGCAAGTGTAGCGGTCACTCCAGTTACGTCACCCATTTAGATTGGTCAGCCGACTCAACAAGTCTGCAGAGCAACTCTGGAGATTATGAGATCCTTTTCTGGACAGCAGCCACCTGTAAGCAAATCACATCCTCATCCTCTATGAAGGACACAGAGTGGGCAACTTACACCTGTACACTTGGATTCCCTGTCACAGGTGAGACTGATAAAATATTTTTATTAAATTAAAAGAAGTAAATTAAATAATGTTTATTCCACCAAATAAATAAATAAAACAAATTCCTCAGGCTTATGCTTATCTTAGGCAAGAGTTAAATCAAACAAAAAAAAAGAACGAAAATAAATTAATACAAAAAAAAAGAGGCACATGTGAGAAGTATTAATACTTTTACTCATAATTTAGGTAATAGTAGGTCAATTCCGTTATTATGACCCATAATTTTAAAGCTTACAATGTGGCGGATATGAATATATTTAAAGGCAATTTTCATTTGTTGGTCACAGATTCTGGTATTGGGATGGAAAGCCTTAAATGTGAACACAAGTATAACTATACAAATTGTTACTAAATATTATTAATTAAATGCTGCTAATTTAAGGATAACCATTCCAAATGGTCACAAATCAATAGACTAATATAAAAGTGTGTTTACAATTGGTGAGGATGTGTTGATAAAAATTAACAAAAAGCATAAATGTGTAAGGGTTTAAGCCAAGTTGCGGAGGAAAAGATATGTTGTACAACAGATTTTACTTAGTAAAGACACAAATAGAATGTTTCATGAAAAGTTTGGGAACAGTTAATGAGATACAGATTTTTGAATAAACTGGGGGGAAAGGGGGCTTAACACTTTTTTTAAAGCAGATGACCTAATTATATACTGTACTTCCATTCTTTGTATCTAGAGTTAATGAATGTTTCAATATCTTCTTAGGAATTTGGCCAGAAGGATCTGATGGCACAGATATCAATTCCGTCGCCCGGAATAATAATAGCACCATCTTAGCAACCGGAGATGATTTCGGAAAGGTCAATTTGTTCAAATACCCCTCAAGTCGTCCGAAGGTAAATATTCATTTGTCTTTTGATTTTATGCAAAAATGTTAGATGTCTTTCATGCCATCTGTTTATTATTAATAATATTCTAAATAGCTAACATGGCAATGAGAAAATTTGTAAATGTAAATTTTCAAAAAAATGCCAGTAAAAGCAAGTGCATACATACAATAATTATGGCTCCCCAACCCAAACCTTGACTGCACTGCAGTAACAGCGTCAATAATGGTATTAACTGTATAATATTTTTTGTAGTATGTTGGCATAATTGAAATCAGATATTGGGTGGTTGGTTATAAAAGAAGCTGAATACGATTCATATCGTAACCAGATAGATTGCAGGTTGAGTTGCGATTGCAATGGCAATAAAAATTGGTATCATAGAATTGCACGTTTAAATTAGGTTTTGTAACATCAAACTAATATCCCAGGTATTGATAATTCATATATATATCAAGATAGTTTATATCTGCAATTTGATTAGTGAGTTTATTCATGGCCCTCTTAATCAAATCAAATCAAATATACTTTTATTTTCCATACAAAAAGTAGTACAATATACAATAAGAATGCAAAAAAAATTGAAACAAATAATGTTACATTAAATGATTGCAGTACACTAAATAGACATTATTATATTGTTCTGATGATGATGACAATTTAACTCAATCTAAATGTACATTCTCAACAACAACAGTTCTTTTCAGAACTATGTACGTGGTGTACCACAAGCATTTAACATATTACTTCACTATAGAGTACAATAGTTGCCAATAAACTATCGCTTACATAATCATTTTGTATGTAAGATCTCCAAAATTTTCTCACTTTAACGTTGATGAAGATAGCAGGAGCTATCAAAATATCTGTTAAATAAATTAATAAATTTGTGTTCCGCAAGTCAACTTTCAATGCTGTCTCTTATACACATCTAGATGTGTATAAGAGACAGTTATTATAACGTTCTTATAACGTAATATTGTTAGCTGGGAAGACCTACCGTATATCCTATACGAAATGTTATCAGTTTCCAATTTGATCAAATTCAATAAAATCTTATAGGCCTAATTGCAAATGCCTTCAGTGACTCCACAGCAATATAGTTGCAGTCTTCATGTAATTCGTTCTCTGGGCATAGTTCTCACGTCACTGCGGTCCAATTCTTCAACGATAATTCTAAACTGATTTCCACAGGGGGAAAGGATATGTCATGTATTCAATGGAAAGTTGAGCCCTTCTAAGCTTCTGACAACAGTCTCCCCAGTTGGAATTCAGCATTGACACAATGCACAAGAATACAGAAGTGACTAGGAACCCATACCTAGAGGGCGCTATTTTATAAGATTTCAGAATGCTTGCTTGCTACATCATGTTCAGCTTTCAAAGTGTTCATGGTCATTTCTGACTGCCGTACACTATTGTAAACGCCTTAATTTTTACAAAATTTAAACGCTCACAATTTCTTCTATCATAATTTTTCCAACCATTAATTTTAAAAGTCGGAGAACCTTAGATAAATAAAATTATGTAATTAAAGCTGATAATTAAAAGATATTTTTATTTTTAGTAAGCAACTTTAGCTTATACCCGTATGCCCCAAAATTTTACGAATTTATAATTTTATATACCCGTAAAGTTTAAGAATTGTAAAAATTAAGGAGTTAACAGCTAGTTACATTTACATGTTGTGTGGTTGGATAAAATTTTCTGGATTTTGTGTTGATATTTTTTTTGTCTGATATTTGTTTTTCAATCTTTGGATTTCTTATATAGACTATGGTGATGAATTCAATACTTTGCCGGTATTTGAATTTTTTAAATTTGAATCTACTGAGAAATAGAAGACTGTAATCTTAAAATGCTTCCAAAGATAAAACAAAATATGATCAAAATATACAAAGGTGCATTCTGCAAAATAATGCTAAATAAAACCAAAAAAAACAGGAAAGTTTAACAAGTGTATTGTCACAATAAAATAAACTATACAATAAATTTTTTATTTCAAGTTGATTAAGAAATAAGAACTGAGCATCGAACAAACTTTGACTTGATCAAATAAATGTAGCCACAAACAAATTGAGCTTTAAATCAGCTGAATTTTAAGTGAAATTGGTTAACTAAATATTATTATTAAGTGCTTGGGTTGAATACAGTGTAGAGAAATATATTATCAATTTGCCAGCTTTATCTTGTCGTCTGTCCAGTGATAGTTAGCTTTTGGGTAAACCTATTCTAGAAAAAAAATCTGAACATTTTTTGTTTATATTTTCAAAAATTTACAGGGTATATTTCTTAGCCAAGTTGGTTTAGACGCTCAATAATATATGATTTTGCTAGTAGTAAATAGCATTTAAATTGTTCACTAATTTAATTGTGTTCCAAATTGTCACCAATATCTGTGATTATTTTACTATTTATAATAGCTAATTTTGATATTCTAATAAATAAATTTCATAATGGCCAGCTATGATTATAACCAATGAAATATAATCAAAAAGAGATTATATATTAATATGATGTAATAGTGTATTGCTGGTATCTGATTGGTGTAACAAGTCATGTGACCTGTTAACCTGAACTTCCCCTGTATGTTTGTGTATGTTTGCATCTCCACTACACTATTTATAATTTTTACATTGGCCTCTATGTTTTCTTATGTTATATTTAGTGTGAAGTACATTTTCTATTTTGTAGGTGGATACATTTTAAATTTGAATTATTTATGGTTAATAACAAACAGCTCTATGCTTGTATGATAACCAAATAAGGTAAATGACCCATAACAGTAAAAAACGATATCAAAAAGAAAAAGATTATTGCAAAAAATTAATGAAATATGCTGATTAAATTCATCAGACCTAAGTGACTCAACTAGTAAGCAATCTTTCAAAGAAAAAGAGTCACATAGGCTTACAAGGGTACTACTTTAAATAGTTATATGCATGTTGATAGTTAGTGTTATAGATTTTCTACAAGACAAGAACAAACAGTCTTTTCTCAATAACTATTTTCTAGATATATATTTCAGGATATGTGATGAAACTTATTTGATAAACTAATATTAGTAGACTTTTCTTATTGAATTTTTTCAATACACTGAATGCTGGAATTACTGGCATGATAACACAAGATAGAATTTGTCTATTCCGTATATTATAGAATTAAAATTGCAGCAAACTGTATTTGTGTTACGATTTCTTGATCTGTTTGAAATTCATTTCTATCTGGTTTCTGTTGAGCCTGCGTCATTCTCCGCGTAACTGAATACACACGCTCATTGGGTGCACACTGTACTTAAGCGTATGAAGTCACTATATTGACCCTTAATCGTTCCAGCATGTTGAAGTAATGCTTCTTCATGTATATAGATTTTGTTTACATTAAAAAAAAATCATAAAAAGAATTTTTGAAATTAACTTGCTTATTTTGAAGTAACATAAAAATTATCAACATGAACATAGAAATTAGTGTATTTAAAAAAATGTTTACCCATAATTTTACAAAGAAAAATTATAACACTTTGTTACTGGAAGTGTTTTATTATTTTTATTAACATTATCCAATATAAAAATAAGGGTATACATTTTTTTTAAATAATTTTAATAATAATAATTTTTAAATAATGTCCAAGCTCAAGTTAATAATTTGCAAGTTACTACAAAATGAGCAAGTTAATTTCAAAAATATTTTTTATGAATTTTTGTCATTTTTATGTAAATTGGTGATTTATTTCCCATTAATAATTTATGTCAGGCATTCGGGCAAATTAAAAGAAAACATGCATTATCTAAAAACAGAGGTCAGAGTATCAATACATAATAGTAATAATATTTTAATTTCCTCAAAAACAATAACAGGAGCAGGGAGAAGCCAATGAGGAACAAAGTTTCTATACAATGTTTGGCAACCCAGAATGATAAGTTAATCATTGATAAATGTCGTATACTGGCATCGTTTTTAGTCTCTTAAAATCTGGTAAACTCTTTTATTGTTCGTTTAAAGGTATAAAATATTAACTTAACATTGATGAAAACAGTAAGTCTTCTAATTTACACATATTTTTACTGTGAAGATCCTTAAATCAGTGGTGTATCTAGGGGGTTTGCTGGGGCACATTCCCATTACCCCCCCCCCCCCAAAAAAAAAAAAATTACTCACGTATTTAGAGGTATAAATATAAAATAACAATTAGATATTTATAAAATTTTGGGGGTTCGGCAAATAAGTATAATTAAAATTATTCCCGAAACTTTAAGGTATTCATTAATTTGTGGGCCTATATTGAAATAGGCTATAATGATAGCATTGCATCATGTGTATACGTAACACATGTTTTATTTTGCATATTGATCATATTTCACGATACCCTGCACGTTGTGTATGTGTAATTATAGTAGGCAGTTATTTATTGTACAGTATTGTAATGTATTAAATAATGCACCGCGTATTGTACACCTGTATATTCATAACACAAGGTTTTATTTAATTAAGCCTACATCATTTTATACGTTATGTATTTCACAATACCCGTCAACCCATATAAGCCTATTATAGTCACTATTATTATTCATTTAATGTGTTCGTGTTTCTTGCACTTTATCTATTAATGGCTGTATAGACAACTCAATTCATCTAGTTATGGCAGTAATAAGAGATTAAATTTTGAACAAGTTATCATTTCGCAATAGACCTACCTAGTTTTTGAAATAGGCCTACGAATTGTGAATTGGTCATTATTTTGGGTCATGCTACTACCTTCTGTATCCAGTAACATTGAGAACATCTAAAAATTAAAAATTAAAACAAATCAAAAGATTTGTCAAAATAGTATTAAAAAAAATCGGGACCCCTGCTTTTAAACTAAGCCATCGGTGGTACACATCTTAGCTGACATGGCAAGTCTATTTGCATGCGTCAAGGGCCCGACTGTAACATTTGAACCAGGGCCCCTTACAACCTAGTTACGCCACTGGCATTTGAGCATCAGTTACAAATTCATAAACAACGATTGCAATTTCTCCTCGAAATAGGTTGATTGGATGATTGGATCCATTGTTTGAGCATAAGTTTTATGTAGGCCTATCATGGGGTTTGATTTTGATGTAAAAATATTTTGAAAATGCCAATTACACATTCCCTTGCAATAAGAAGCGAGTATTACTGCCTTCAAATTAAACAATACAGCATCAGGTAAGTGGATTGGCGAGTAATCTTACCGCCGGCCGGCCGACGGCTTAACATCTCTATCTAAGTTCGAAGTGTTCAAAGGAAGGCAACGGAAATCTCTAACCGTAACCGTTGCTTCATCACAAAATTAACCTGAGGTGTCTTGGACCAGGCACATTGCGCGACGGTCGTCAGCCGTCGTGGTTTCACAGAGATAAGCATAGGCGCGCCCAAACGATCGTTTTTAATGACGTTGCACAGGGCCGTAGCCACAGGTACGGTTTCAACCTGACCACTTTTTGACAGACCACAAGTTAATTGATTACCGTAGGTTTTGAATTGGAAGAAAAAAGGCTAAATTCTACCTGTATATTTAAACTTAATCTTCTTCCTCTTAACTGTGGAACCACAAGTCTGTGATCTCTGGGATGTGATTAATTTTAGTTTACATTATTTTATTCTCTTTAATATAAGATTTATAATGATTGTTTAAGAAACTATAGGATGCAATTTTTCCGCAAGACGCGGCCTAGCCGTGCCAGGGACCAAACTAAAACCTGGTAAGAAGTTTTGATCATGAAGATTATGTCAATGTTCTGATGCTATACAATAATTTGACATCATTATCTGTTCTGTCAATGACAAAATTTCATTGTAGAGTATACAAATTAAATAGTATTTTATTAAAGAAATAATATCGTAGACCTAACACTTGTGTTTTTACCCGAACACACCACACACGTCATAGCTTTCTCCTTCCAAAAAGATTCACGCACACTCATTCATTCATTCCACAACTTTGAAAGACGGCCTGTTTTTAATTTAAAGTGATGTATTGTTTTGCTTCACCATAGCCCTGATGGTAGTTTAAAACATATTTTTATAAACAAATATTTCTATATTTGATTACTACTACAGAACATCATTAAAATTGGTCTATATAATGTAGGTCTATAAGTACAGCAAATTTTTCCCGGATGCCCTTGGCACCCCTTGTCCCTTAGCCTCATCATGCTCACTTCGCTCGCAACCTAACCACTTCAATTCTCGTGGCTACGGCACTATACTGCGTAGTCAAAGGCTCACAGAGATCGAAGATGGACTCGACTGCCGACGGTCGTTGGCGGGATTTAAAGACGACCACAACAACGAGAAAGCGGATCGTTTTCAACGACGCCGCGCACCAACATTCAGTTGACGGTACCGCGTCGTCGACGGAAATGGATTATTCGTCTACCGAGATCGGCCGACGCAGTGTTATCTCATTTGCGTGTTAAGTCAATTGATTGTCGGCCAGCGTCTAGAATGATCTACGATCCAAGATGCGCAATACAGCTTTTTTTCCATCAATTTACGTCGTGATTTACGATATTTGTTATTCCATTTTGTAAAGAATATTTATGCAATATTGATTGTGTACTGATTACTACTACACGTCTTCAATCAATATTTATGAAATATTGTGTTGTTATTCCAAAATTGTTTTAGTAATAACCATGTAAGCCTTACCTTATAAGTAAACTGGATGCTTTTCAAATAATCTGTATGTATTTTCTGTGTTTACATTTGTGACGTTCGATGATGGAGATGATGAATATAATGATAATGGCAATAAAGTTGGTGGTGATGATGATGATGAATGGTGATGATGATGGTGATGAATGAAGCTGAAGCTGACAATAACAATATTTGGACTCTTATTCTCCGATTGTTACTGTGTAGGCATATGTCTATACCGTCAGAAATAAAAGCATAGAATCTTATAACATGTACGGCACTAGACTCAGAGGGTCACCTGTCAACCAATTTATTTTCTTCCATCTAATATATAAGTGGATATTTTTTGCTATGATGTTAAGATGGGCACACACGATCGAAGGAATGGGACTCAGGGGGAGGTGCCGAATAATAGAACCTTTCTATCTAGGCCTATACTTTCCAGACTAAGCACTAGGGGGCTTACTTTCCCAAAAGTTTTAGGCATTTTTTATGTTTCGATAAAACTATAAATACTTGCTTGATACTTGCTTGATGATGTTAGGTCGCCGTTTAAGGAAGCTGTAAGCTTGACCCATCTTGCGTCACAAAAGAGCAGCTAACCACCACTGGGGATCTAGTAAGAATAAATAATATATGTAAACAATTAAATTTCAATAACCATAGAATTACATTGTTATGGCTTGTTAACACTTACTCATTTCTTTCTCAGTCGGTCTGAGAAAAAGGGATTCTCTATATGGCGCATGACGTTACCTAATTATCAAGTCAATCGAGACGTCATCACTGCAACACCCAATGTTATTCCCTGTCCCCAACCGGGTACTAATTTTTCATTAGTGCACGGTTGATTGTTCTTTTTTTTTGGTTCGTGTAAAAAAGACAAATTCAACTTGTACATATCAAGCACCACGATGAATTCTAGGCTACTACTACACGTGCGCCTGTGGAAAGAGAGGCAGACCGCCTTAATCGTCGTTTGTTGACAAGTGGTAATTGAAAAAAAATAACATTAGCAAAACAAGGCCTATATTAGAACCCGAAGAAAGTCACTTAAAATTAAATATTATGTATGAACGAATAAGGAATTCCTTGAATCAATATACCCTGATAAACTAATGAAACTGAACATTTAATAGAAATATTTTAGGCCTATCTAGACCTATATTTTTTTTTATAACACATTTTATAAGAACACTGAGGCTAAAATCGCTTGAAAATTAAGAACAATATGAAAAAATGGAGGCTGAGGTAAAATGTTAAAGGAGGTTTTTATTCTAAAAGAATAGAATTTTCTTTAAAAGAATAAAACCTAACAAATTAGTAGGTATGTAATATCCCCCTATAACACTGTACAGTGATATACCGTACTGCTGTACAACAATATGCTTCACGTTTGAAAAATGTGTAAATTAATTAAGAACAAAATAAGCACACCTTGAGCCTGAAATCGACAAAATACAGTATTATAAACACTGAGCCTGGGAAAAATTTTACTGGTTCTTATACAAAAAAAGAGTGTACTTCAATTCCAAGGTTATCAAAACAGTAAACTCAACTCATGAAGTCTTTAAACACAATCAAATGTGTATTCATCGTAGTGCTGTGTAAACCATGGAGGTATTTAATACCTCCATGTGTAAACCAAAGTGTATAAATAGAACAAGAGAGCCAACTACGCTCTGTAAAAACGTCACTCCCCTAGCACGAAGCAAGTCGCCATCGTCGCTATGTAGTTGGCTCTCTTCTATATACCATGCTTCTATATGCCATGTACTCTTTGCGTAAACGTACATACCGTAAAACCTCGAATCGAAGCCCTGGGCTTATTATTATCGTTATTATTTTTTCTTTTTTCTTTTTTTTTGTGAACTTTGGATGGGCTTCTTTTCGAAGCTACATTTGCAAAGTAAAGAGCGGTGGGGCCTTCTTTTCAAAATGAATGCTGTAAATTTTGGTAATTACCGTAAACTATAAAACAATAAATAGGGCCACTGTAACATCAGTCTGTATCATGGAGTGTATTAACCGGCATTAAGTCACCTAAAATATTGTGTAAACCAAGCGTGTTTTAAATATATTTTGTGTTTCTTTGAAATTCATGTACAGTGTATGTACTATCTCGAAAAGAAGCCCATGCTATCTTGAAAAGAAGCCCATGGGCTACCTTTCTAGATGGGCTTTTTTTCGAGGCTGCTTTTGCAAACTAAAGATGGGGAGGGGGCGTCAATTCGAGAAGGGCTTCTTCTCGAGATTAAGCCCATGGGGCTTCTATTCGAGGCTTAGGCTACCAACCACTTCAACTGCACTTATGGCCGAACGCGTATTACTGCAGCAACAATCGGCACGCGCGCACAGCTAAATGTAATACGCGCACAGATAACTGATCACATAGTTAGCCGTTGACTACAGTTTGATAATATAAAACTAATATTATAAAGCACGGCGATTGCCTTATAAAAGCAATTAGAGTAGTGCTTATCTATACACTAGGGGAAATTTATTATACTGTACTTAGGTTAGATTAATCCATTCAAATTTTTTTTTTTCAGGCCCCCCCCCCACCTTTTTTTCTTGCAATAATCTAACCCTCTTTGTAAAATGAATTTCCACTATAGTGTATCATACGCAACTATTCTAATTGCTTATTATGTCTCAAAGTTCTGGTAAGTAATGAGCTGCTAATGAACTCCCTAAAAAATAGTGGTATATACGAGTGATGTAATACAAGTTATGCGACTTCCTCGTTCCTTCCAGTTCATCGCAACCGCATACATTTTTTCACGGCCTTTTGTTAAATTTATAACAATCTAACCATGAAGCAGTTTCATTCGTCAATTCCAACAAGCCTTTATGCGTTTCATACCACTTCTGCATAATTAATTTCAGGTTGACATATCCTCGCCATCAACCAATGAACGAGTGTTTGTCAATCAGCGTAACTCACCTATTCACCAGGAGGTCTGTTACTGGGGTTTCGCAGTGTTTTAGCGTAAATACGGAAGCTGTTACCTTGGTTACGACTAAAAAAACAAGTATCTCACGAGAATAAGCATTCATACAGACGTGAAGATTCTATCGCCACGGTGTTTTGAGTTCTAGTGTGACCGCCCGGACAACGGATCTTCGAGCTACACTATTTTAAAGTAGATATTTGTAATATTTATTATTGTAAGGTTCTAGGCACACAGCAGACAGAACGATGGCCGCACCTTACGGGCAACCTCCGCCACCCCAAGCTGTTACTACTGTTACTGTCGTGCAGACGGAAAAGAAACCTAATGCGTGCAGAGCAGCTATTCCTGCCATGCACATTGCAATGGCAGTTGTTTGTTTAATATTCAACATATTTATTCCCGGGCTTGGTAAGTAGGCCAAGTTCTAAATTCGTAAGCCAGTAATGGGCTCCGGACCAAACAATATGAAATTAAAGGCTTAATGTACTAAACTACTAAATAGACCTCTTGTTGTTTGTAAGTCAGTATTTTGACTTATATTGTTGGCCTATATTTATGTTAGTTAGGCCTCAGATAGCTTTTAAATTTAAAATAAGGGGAGAAATCATTCACCATTTACTCTTAACGTAAACGTAAATAATAATTATTCAACAGATGTTATATAGCGCCAGTCAAAATTTTGGTTTAACATTCTGAAATAATAGTCCAAGATAAAGTTTCGAAAGCTGGCTCCTATATTGTTTACATAGCCCGTTCTAAAATTAGTAATCTATAATTAAAGATATTAAAATCTTAAAAATATTAAAATCTATAGGCCAACGTATTGGAGGTTATGCCTGATTTTTTTTTCTTTGATCGCTTTGAACTTCAATGTTTTAATTTAATTTTGGAGTTTTTTTCCTTTATTTTTTGACAGACGATAGGTCTATTCCTTTCCGAGTAATTAGTTAAACCTGGCTTATTGGCTTGCAGCATCATGATACGAATACGATAGCACAGTATAGGCCTATATTCATAAATAACTTACATTATTTACAAACACCATCAGTTTATAGACCTTAATGTCTATATCGATGCGCACAATATTGTTACCTTCATCGATTATGACCTTGTATGATATTGAAATTGCGCCGAAATATTATAGACATATGCATTTACGACTTCCATGCATTTTTTTTACTATGTTAGTGCATATCTCCCTATAATAATTATACACTTTTGTATTGCTACTGTGGGGTCGAGCACAAGTCATTAGATCAATATTGAAGTGATACTATGACATAAAAATGGAGAAACGGATTCAGAGAGGGAGACGAAACTAACTCAAATCCCATTTTTCTCTTTATTTTAATTTTGAACTTGATTACTTTTCTTTTGTTTTTTTTTTGTTTTTGTTTTTGTTTTTTTGTTTTTTGTGAACTTGGGCGGTGGTTTCTTAGCGCATAGAGACCGTTATTACCATTACATTATGATTTGGAGTTTTTATTGGCGCTCCATAATACGCACTTTAGTACATTTGAAAAAAGAGTAGATACGGTACATGATACTGTTAAGGTTTTTATAGCCATGATCCTTTTCAAAAACCTTAACAAACCTACACAGAGGCCCATTGAAAATATTACCGTCGTCAGATTGTTAATTATCGCTTGAATAACTGGTAAAATATAATATACAGTTACCAGACTAGTGACGTCAATATAACAAATTGTCGGTTGAAAAAGATTGTGATATATGACTTGATTTTGGAAAGAAGGAAAGACAAAACAATATTATGTGTAATGATCTGATAATAAATTTATAATGATAATGAAAATGGTAAATATTGCAACATGAAATTCATATCAATATTTGTCAATAAGGTGAACCTTTTACCTTATCTACATTTTAATGAGCATTTATTTCAAATTCTGGTAGGCCTTATTTAAAATATCAAATTGTTAATGGTCACTATCATTTAACTATGCCTACAAAACGTAGGACATTCTTCCTAATAAGAAATTGAATAGTCACTTTTCTTGGAGCAATGAAAGGGGTGGGGGGGGGGTTGATGAAAGTGTTCCCTAATCCATCTTGTATCCTGTCTACTTGGACAGGATACAAGATGCGCAATTGCAAATTTTGGCCATTTTTGCTGTATTTAATAACATTACATAATTAATGTTCAATATACATTAAACTATAGGCCTACAAAATGTAGGCCTACAAAATTCGGCCTAATAGGAAATTGCTTAGAGTTACGATTCTTTGGAGTAATTAATACGTGCTTAATGAAAGTGTTTCCTAGTAACGCAAACAATGTCATTTTGCTCATTCATAGTTCTTTGTCGGTTACAATATTAACATTACAGTACAGAGTTAATTGGAAAATGGTTTAAACCTAATGTATTGTTGCTTTAAATGTTTGTTTTCTTTGAGTTTATACAGTATGTACCGTACCGTAAATTGTAATATACATATAAATGTGCAATAATTGTCTCTGTTATATTTGCTATGGTACTATAGGCCATGTATTGTTAATCTGTTAACGATCGACTACTGCAATACGATGCTGTAGTATCATATTAAGCGAATTAATTTATGTTGTTAGTGTATGGTATAAAGTACTTATTGATTCGATAGCGGATGAGGCGTTAATCATGGCCATTCTAACAGCCAATTGCTTATATTACCAATATAGATAAATATATAACAGTAAAGAATGAGAAACCAAATACGGTACCGAACAAAATACATATAATTTTGTGTCAACTTGCTGTTTCACCGCTGGTCCAACTTTTAAAATTGAGGAATCTCCTTTTTGGCGTCAACTTTTTCATTTTATATATTTATTCATTTGACATTGACAGAAAAATAACTGTCTCGCCAGCAGCAGGCCGCCACTGAATGCTGTGAGATTTTATGATATTTTGCTAACAATCTTTCGAACAAAGAGTTTCGTTCGAACATCAATGATAATGGCTTATTCTTATATTATTATATATTATTTTAGGAAGTTTTAATTCATTATACTGTCATCGTGTTATTAATATTTTAACGCTATGTCAACTTTCTGTTTCACCTCTGTGTTATATTATAATATTTTGCTGACAATCTCTGACGATAAGTTTCGTTCCAACATCATTGATAATAGGTTTATTCTATATTCATATAATTGGAGAAAATTTTAGTTCATATACTTTCATCGCTTTATTGGTTGTTCAACGCTATGTGAACTATTGACAGAAAAACAACCGTCTCGCCAGAAGGACTCTCTGAAACAATACAACAATATTATATTAATGCCTGCAGTACACCACATAGATAGTTCTGAAAACTGCTGTTGGTTGAGAATGGCTCTACGTTTCGATTAAGTTGCTCCAATCGTCTTCAGGAGAATAATATCTGTTGAAAATTCTAAACAGGGAAATACTTACATGTTCGGGTAGTGAGGCTTGCTGCTGATTGGTGGAAAAGTAAACACTAACTGAGACTACGTGTGAAAAGGCTAATACAAAAGTCAGTATTCACAGTCTATGCATAAGAATGGGGCGTGGAGACATTCTCAACCAACAACAGTTCTTTTCAGGGTACATGGTGTAGCCTACCGCAAGCATTAATACAACAATAACAATGAATTTATTGAACCAAAAACAAAATAAAAGAAACATTGAAGTATTTTGAAAACCTATGATTTACATTGAAAAAATGTATATACAGTATATATAATTATATATATATATATATATATATATATATATATTAATTATTATTTATCTGATCTGGTTATGACATAATTGCTCTTGCACTATTAGTGTCACAGGGTTCGCCCTCCGTTTTCTATAGTGAATTCTGACGCCGTTTATGATTGCTATCTACTAGCAATTGGCCAAGATTTGCATGCGTTCCTCAAAGCTGAATAGCGCATTATGGTCAAAAATTGTTTGGTTGCGGATTGCGTAATACAGTAGCCGGTTGACCTGACGACGTGCTACAAAGAGCCACCACGTGCTGTAAATTAAAATATTGATTGTCCTATTTGTACCAATATTTTTTTTGTTATGTATTTGTTTTGTTTCGTAAAAATTTGTTGGGTGCCCCTTTGAGTCAGCTTTTTAGCTGTAAGAGCTACCCAACCCTCATTAAACAAAGTTCAATAAAAAAAATAAAATAAACTAGATAACTACATTGACGATAACTATATATAAAAAAAAACAAACAAACAAAAAAACAAATATGTCCTAGCCATTTAGAAAGCTTAAAGATGTATGTAAATAAGGTGTAAAGTTACAATAGATAGGCCTCCGTTGTTCCAAGACAGAAAAATAAAACTTTTCCCTCTACTTAACTTGTGAAAATTGATCTTACGTGTGGTCGGCCTAGCAATAAGAATCAATATTTGTTTTACTTGGCTAGGTTATTTATTTAAACACTTCTATTGTTGGCTTTGCAGGTACGATAATTGCTGCGTTTGCCGTATTCTGCTGTGCAAACACTGGCCAATCGGGTGGAGGGAAAGTCGGCACGTTTTGCCTCAACTTCTGGGTAGGACTTCTGCAGCTTGCCACATGTTGGATTTTTTTCATTGGCTGGATTTGGAGTATAATGTGGGGCGCCGCGTTTATTGGGATGTCAGGTAAGTTTATTGAAAAGGCAGTGTATGTATGGGGAGGGGTGCAGGTGGCAGAGTGTGCCTATCCAGTAGACCTTGTTTATTTAAACACAGTAATTTTCACGAAGATTAGTAATGGTGCATTCAAGCAAATCTAGCTATTGTATGCATTGCGTATTTGAAATATTTTCGTGAAATTCTATTGAATCCCATAAATTGCACTGACAAATAATGATTTCTTTAAATTCAAAATTCCGTACACGTCATGTTTTATTGTATTATTATTATTATTATTATTATTATTATTATTATTATTATTATTATTATTAATATTATTATTACTGTATCATTATTATCATTATTATTATATTGGTATCTTTGTCATCTTTAGCATTGCTATATGACTGACATGTACCTGTATGATTTTATATGTTATATATAGGCCTATATAATAATAGGTCTATGTCATTAGAATTATTATAATTACCATCATCAGTATCATTATTATTATTATTATCAGTAGTAGTACTATTATATAATATGTGTCGTTATGTTGTCATCATTATTAATACTATTTGTTTCTCTCTTTTAGCTGATTACCATTCCAGCGGTGATGCAACCACAACCGTGGTCACAACAACATCAGCCGTGCCTCAGCAGCAACAAATGATGGTCGTCACACAGCCTCAACCACCACCATACAACCAGCAACCACCGCCGCCGACAGGGCAACCAATGCCACCTCAGGCGATGCCGGGTCAACCTGATTATCCTGCAAAAGCATAAAACACCGTTTTTTGCTTTTTCTGACACCGTTTTTAGCTTTTTCTGGCAAATAGTTTATTTTTCCATTTTTGGTTGCGATTCCTTCTATTTTAACCAAACTTGATTCACATTTTGATATTGAGACCAGATAATACAAATAAAGCATAGGGCCATATTAGTTGTTCCCTTCTTTGTTTTTTTGTTTTATTTTGTTTCTTTTTTAATTTCACAAAAACAAACAATCCTGTACAAATTTGAACATAGGCCTATTAACAATCCATGGTTGTCCGTCTATCTAGATCCCTGGTTCTCAACTGAATTTTTTGAAGGGCCAAATTATTTTTTGAGTTGATCTCATGGGCCAAAGAATCTCAGCCGAGTTGAAGGCAATCGTACTTCTGGGAGAAAATCTTTCACCTAAGACAGGTCTATTTGAAAGTTAGTTTCTTTTTAGGGGCCTGTTTTTAAATTGTACTAAGCCTACACCAGCGATCATGACTCATTGGGTCGCGTGAAATTTCTGTGTGGACTTGTCATCAGATTAACAGTCGTCAGTCAAAATACAAAAAAAAAGCCGCATTTACACAGTTCACATGTAGGACTAGAAAAATGTATTCTTATGAACACTGTCTTTTTATACGACAACTTTTTATTACTCCTGTGAACTAAGAATGCTATTAACGAAACCCAGTGAACAGAACACATTCAGAGACGGAACTTGACGGCACAAATACTGAATGACTTGAAAAGAAGGGTAGGCATAATTGACGGAACACAATGTTTAATAACTAAACACAAACAGAACTTGGCAGCATATTGCTGTACTTTGACGATCGAAGCACTCTTTGGTTCACTAGCTGTTTATTGTGTGATATTAAGTAGGCTTGCTGTATGAATGTTATTGACGATAAAACCTAATTGACGTATTACAAAGTAACCTATATTTAGTTGTGTTTACCTCTATGATTCTTCTACCATGTCATAAATCAGGCATCAGGACTCTGCAATCCTTAAAAAGTTAACATGTCTATGATAAACTTTTTACTTCCTCTGGGCTGCTATGTTAAATTAGCATCTGAGCTAATAATACCAATCTTAGGAGTAGTTTTAGGTTTACAGGGTTTGATTTTATATCTGAGTGGGGTAACCCCTACATCATAACGCGCCTTTGGCTTGTTCGAAGCACACAGAGAGGAATAAGACCACGGATTTTGGTGCTATTTATGGCCTATCATCTTGCTCATCAAACCACTCCATCGAAATTTTATTATATTTCAAATATTTTTTATTATTATATTGTTTTTCCTCACAGGCTAAATTGCCCCGTGGGCCGCCTATTAAGAACCAGGGATCTAGATCAAGATCTTGTTTACACGACTACGTGTCATGATGACGTATCTGTCGTGAAAAAGGAAACATGCGTTGGGGGAATCCATTCTCTTTCCTAAATAATAATAATAATAATAATAAAAACAATACATGTAGATGACACATGATCTAAATAATAATAATAATAATAATAAAACAATACATGTAGATAACACATGATGAGACACATGAAACGTGTTTTTTGTTTGTTTGGTTTTTTGGGGGGAAGGGGGTGTGTTGAGGGGTGGTGCCTAATGTCAGCACCTTGTAAAAAATGTACATACAATGTAGTTTTATCCAAAGAATACCTCTAAGTTTCTCTGTAGGCCTGTTGATTTGTTAACACGGTGATATTCCCATTGGCTAGTACTGTCCATAGTGTACCGTATGTAATGTACCTCGTATGGTATGTGTGGTTTGATATAGGCCTACTTTGGAACACAAGTTAAATTCAGATATACATGTAGTAAGATTCGAGAATCGAGATTCAAGATTATTAAATGCTACTTGAGCCATCGAGGGAAATTCCGCAATCACAAATTCACAATCACATAATATAACAATCAAAATAACAAAATAGAAACGCCATCTTCTTAAGCAAGTTAAAACTTGAAAATTAAGAGCTGACATAATGTCTGAAGGAGTTATATTAGCGGGCCAGGTCGTAAGCGAGACTAAGGGCATATGGCAAGAATATACTACATATGTGAACTTAACTTGTGTTCCAATGCTTATTCTGTTTTTTGTTATAATGTTAGTGTATTATGTGCTGTATAAGAATATCCACCGTATTATTATTATTATTATTATTATTATTATTATTATTATTATTATTATTATTGTTATTATTATTATTATTATTATTATTAATTGTTTTTATTATTATTATTATTATTGTTAGGCCTATTTGTTATTATTATCTTTAAGAATCTTAATATACCAACTTGTAGACCAAATGAATTTATCTGTTAGCATATATATAGACAAAGACATTAGGTAACACATTCAACATTTTATTTTGCACTACAAACTAGCATCTGATGATTGAGGTTGTGCCCTTATGGAGCAGTCTGTAGAGCAAAATAAAATGCTTGCAACCTAGTGTGTCTTTGATTTCTTAATTGTATTTCTTAAAAGTACATATTTTTACTGTATTATGTTTGACTGGCTCCATCTCTTGCTATATGTGTATATAAAGATGCTTAATAGCCCCTGAGTTGTTTACGACCAATCTAGTGCCTATATAGCCTATCTCAGAAGCTCTACATTTCCAGGAGTAGAAGAAATGATGTCGTCAACATGCGAGAATCATATCGCGGAACGCATTATTGCATACGATTGCGTCAATATTATCGAAATGCGACGCATTATAATTTTAGAGGCTTACCATAAATACTGAAAAATCTTCGGGCCTACAATACTTGTTTGTAGGGTTCCAAAGGTTTACACGGATGCACGCTACTTCCAATAATGTAAATAATATCCTGTCTTTGTTATCTTCTAATAAAAAGGAACAATAATACGTTTTGTTGTGTAATTTGTGTTCGCCTTACATTATGTGCATTTTAGTCGAGACTTTTTTCCATCGAAGTCTTTCTTTGTTTATCAATTTAGTGCTAAAGAAATGATTTTGAAATATAGCCCATAACTTGATGTCTTAATATAGCTTCTATCGATCGATACACCATATTAGGCTTATGTAGATGTCAAAAAGAGTGATGTACGTTAATTAGCGTTAGCAAATGCAATACATGACAATTCATAGAGGATGCAGGTACCATTTGGTTGAAGACTAAATCTAGCAGCCATGATATTTAAATATTATGAATAAGCAATTACCAAATCGGCCAGGAAGCTTGACGGAACGAGTGGAATTGTGTGCAGTCCCAGTTTGCAAACCATGTTTCAGCGTGGGTAAGATTATGGAGGAATAAGTTTAGAAGGAGATACAACCAGTGAAGATCAAAGGTACAGACCTCTTTGCCACGATCGGAATTATCTTACTACTGTATTACATAACGTACTTGACAACTAGATATTGAAGCTGAAATCGGCAACTGCGCATGCGCCGTATGTCTTGCGATCAACAAACAAACCAAGCTTAGCAACGTACCGCGAGAGAGATCGTGATGTAAATACATATGGATGAAAATAAATAAACTAAGACTCAATAAACAGGGGCGGATTTAGAGGGGGCTTAATAGGCTTTAGCCCCCCTAAAATTTCATAGCCATTTCTTTTTAACTGCTTTTTGAAGGTCCAAATTAAAATATCGTTTAATGTTTTCTTCACACACATCATATTTATGAGCTAAACATTTTACAGTAGTTGTTTTTCAGTGATAAAATAAAAATGAAATACGTTTTTTAACTGATCAGCGGACAAAAAACGTAGCTAAGAGAGCTGCTTTTGCCTTGCTTTCATGCTCAAATCTCAAAGCAAAGGCCGTTGTGTAGCGGTCTCAACGTTTGTATAATACACTAAACTTTTCGTGTCGCGCGGGTTTGTTCTTGTCTAGTCTTTCCTTGATTGCTTGCGGTCAGAGGTATTTGAATGTTTGTAAATAAACCTGTCTCTTATACACATCTTTTGTAAATAAACTAATAAACTAAAATTTTCGTGTCGAGCGAGTCGTTCTTGTCTAGTCTTGTCTTGATTGCTTGTGGTCAGAGCATGGGCGTCGATTGGTGGGGGACAGGGGGGACGCGTCCCAGTACTTTTAAAAGTGGGGGGGACATGGTTCCACTTTTCACCAATCTTCTATAATTAAAACTCCACTTTTACAAATGAATGGAAAGAATAACAATTACGCATGACTCATGAATTTTGTCTGTTCACTTTTCTAAGTGCGGTACGTATTTTCCGGACCAAAACCAAGTAAAAACCTTGTTTAAACATTATGTAACCATCTCAGAAATAGATCGATTTTATGGGTGGGTGCAACCACTATCAGAGGCTAAATTTATTGTGAAAACAATGTACTGAACCTTCTTGAAATTGGAAGCATGTATCCTTATTAGGCCAATATTTTTACAAACTCAAAAGTGCACAATTTCTAATATAAACGATTTATTCTTTTTGTATATTATTATGACCCGTACATATATACTAGTGTTTAATATTATCTACATACATAGGATTACTGTTTTTTCTAATTTCACGTCTACCTATGTCTACCTATTTCGATTAGGTGATAAGGCTACCAAAAGTTTACAAACTCCAGTGTTACGTTGGCACTCTCGCAATGACGCCATAATAATCAGTGGCAGATTCAAGTGGGGCCGAGCCGGCCCTAATTTTTTCAAAATTATTTTTTAAAAATGGAAAAAAAAAACAAAAGAAAATTTGAATTAGAATCTAGGTCTGAGAGTGCCATTTCCGGCAATCTAGAGGTGTCATAATCATAAATTTTCCCAACCATGGTGGGGCTGAGGTGGTAGTCCAGCTACACTCTCCATCTGTAAAAGTCCCTCTCTGGGCCCAGCTCTATTTCAAATTACTGGATCCGCCACTGAATATTTTAAAAATTTCGTATGGAAATAAATGTTGATTGCATTGCTTAAAATCAATTAAAAGGCTATATGCGCCAGAGCTTCCAGGGCTTCGCCCCCTGGTCCCCAACCATTGCTTGGGCCTACGGCCCAAGGCTTTATTTTTCATCTCGTCCCCCCACTTTCAGCCACGGTTCGACGCCCTTGTGTCAGAGACAGGTATTTAAACGTTTGTATGATACAATGAACATTTCGTGTTGAGAGAGTTGTTCCAGTTTAGTTTTTTCTTGATTGATTGTCGTCGGATAATACTACTACATTAAAAAAAAATTTGGTTCTCCTTAAAATTGTCAAATTTTATCTTTAGGGACAGTATTTTTATTATGGAACTGTTTTCACCCTCTTCATTGTCCTATGGTCTTATGTTCCCCTTGGCAACTCTTTCACCAGGGTTTTTAAAGAATGGTGAAATTTCAGAAAATGTCTTCAAAATTTTAAGGGTGGTGCACAAAATTTTAAAGGGTGGATACAAACAATTGCTATTTTAGTACATAGCAAGTGACACGCTAAGTCTGTTTATTGACCTTGCATTTGCATTAATATTTTTTTTAAGCGTGGCTCCAATATTTTAAGCATGGCGTATAATTTAAATTATGTTGTTTCTGTGAGTATCCTACGTGAAAAGATATTTTTATCTGCCATTAAAGATCCTAGTTAATCGTTTTTCATATTATCAATTTATTTACATATATTCTTGTTATAATAATGATTTACTATAAATATTGTTTAACATTTACGGAAATAAATGTTGTTTAATGAATGAATAATTATTCAAATCCACTTGCAATTGACAACAACAACTAGGCATCAGTTATTATTTTTAATGGTGTCTACCACATATTTCTTCTTCAATTATATACAGATACTAAATAAAAGCTCCATTGTACAAGCATATTTATTCAGTTTGTTTTCAACGTAGTACTATCAGATTGTTTTCAAAGCTTAATGCAGTCACTATAACAATATTCGAATTTCACAAATTTCGACTTCTGGAGGAA